CGCATGCGCCGAAAACTGGAAGTAACCCATTCTGGTACTTCTGGGTTCGGCGCGCAACCCGAAATTACATAACCTGAAGCGTCTGTAACCCAAGGTACCACTGTATTAATTAACCAGAAAAGACAGCAGTGAATATGTGAGCCCATTGTATGTTCTGGGTGGTTTGGAGGCTTAAAATATATTTTAATTCAATCTTTGATGTCTAGTGCAAAGCTTTCTGTGCTTTGTGAGCCAATGGTGTGCCACTCTTGTGCTGCATGGATCATATGTGTAGTACAAGGAACTTGAATATGGGGATACAGAAGTAAAATCAAATAGCTAGCACTGAAACTGTTTACAATAACTTATCAACCAATAACCTTTTGCATGTCTGAGCATCAGTGACTTTTCCTCACAGATTTAAAAGTTCCATGATAACATCAGTGCATGAACAGGAACTAGATTCTTCCTTTTCTTCCACACTTCAATGCAACAGATGCTGTTAAACTTTGCATAATTTTCCTAATACACGCAGAAACAAATACATGGGCAGAAGGATTATTGCCCCTCCTCAAAAACTGTGCTATTTTCTCAAGGAATGTAAGCGTTCTGTTGGATAAGACCAAAAGCCTATCTAGTCAACCATCCTGTTTCACAAAGTGGCCAACCAGATACATCTGAGAAGGCAACAAGAAGATTAGACTGACCAGCTCAATTGAGAGCATTCACTTTAGTTGTGAACATGTTAATAGTAATTTTTATTTTACAAGTGGGGTGTCACAGTTCCTGATAACTTTTTTTTTTTAAATTCTCTTACACAGATGGGATTATTCTAATAGCCCTTAAAATGCTGTTCAATGATAAGTCTTCTATCTTCCCTGGCTGCACAACAATATCAATATACATTTGTTCAAAAACAGTAGGTCTGATGTTACTGCCTGAAACTGGACCGGTTTTCATGTCACAGTAAATGACAGTTAATGGGTTTTTGAGAATGTGCAAACCGTTTAACTCTTCTCCTAGGACAAGCAAGAGCAACACAGTGTTGCCTAGCCGAGTGCTATCTGAATCAGGTATCATAGTTTGCTTTCCTTACAACCCTTGGCTGACCATCACTGTTTGTTTAGAACTAAAGTGAAGGCGGTGAAGGTCCTGTGTGAGTGTCTTGGAGGCGGTTGGAGGATGGATGGTGCCTAACAGATTGAAATTGAATCCTGACAAGACAGAAGTACTGTTTTTGGGGGACAGGAGGCGGGCAGGTGTGGGGGACAGGAGGCGGGCAGGTGTGGGGGACTCCCTAGTCCTGAATGGGGTAACTGTGCCCCTGAAGGACTAGGTGCGCAGCCTGATAGTCATTTTGGACTCACAGCTGTCCATGGAGGCACAGGTCAATTCTGTGTTCAGGGCAGCTATGTATCAGCTCCATCTGGTACGCAGGCTGAGACCGTACCTGCCCGCGGACTGTCTCACCAGAATGGTGCATGCTCTAGTTATCTCTTGCTTGGGCTACTGCAATGCGCTCTATGTGGGGCTACCTTTGAAGGTGACCCAGAAACTACAACTAATCCAGAATGCGGCAGCTAGACTGGTGACTGAGAGCGGCTGCCGAGACCACATAACACCAGTCTTGAAAGACCTACATTGGCTCCCAGTACATTTCTGAGCACAATTCAAAGTGTGGGCCTGACCTTTAAAGCCCTAAACGGCCTCAGTCCAGTATACCTGAAGAAGCATCTCCACCCCCATCGTTCTGCCAGGACATTGAGGTCCAGCGCCGAAGGCCTTCTGGCGGTTCCCTTGCTGCGAGAAGCCAAGTTACAGGGAACCAGGGCCGCCTTGGTAGTGGCACCCGCCCTGTGGAACGCCCTCCCACCAGATGTCAAAGAGAAAAACAACTACCAGACTTCTAGAAAACATCTGAAGGCAGCCCTGTTTAGGGAAGCTTTTAATGTTTAATAGACTATTGTACAGTGGTACCTCGGGTTACATACGCTTCAGGTTACACACTCCGCTGACCCAGAAATAGTACCTCGGGTTAAGAACTTTGCTTCAGGATGAGAACAGAAATTTTGCAGTGGCGGCACAGCGGCAGCAGGAAGCCCCATTAGCTAACGTGGTGCTTCAGGTTAAGAACAGTTTCAAGTTAAGAACGGACCACCAGAACGAATTAAGTTCTTAACCTGAGGTACCACTGTATTTTAATATTCTGTTGGAAGCCGCCCAGAGTGGCTAGGGAAACCCAGCCAGATGGGTGGGGTATAAATAATAAATTATTATAATATTATTATTATAAACAAATCACACTGGTACCAGGTTTAGACATAACACTAAGCCAGGGATTGTGGTTTGTTGCTCTCATTCACACTAAGGGATCAAAGGTAGTTTACCAGAATATGCAAACTGGACCATTGTAGGACATTAATAACCAAAGTGTATTGTCAAAAATTTTGTGTCTTTCTTACAGGGTTTGAGCTCTGAGAGATACAAAATTTTATTTTGATACATTTGTGATTTTTTAAAAACCACATTGTTACAAGCACTGAGAAATATCAGAACATTGTCAGCTATGCCTATGACATGGGTTTGAGATGAACAAAGGATATGTTTTGGTTCCTTCAACAGAGATGTCTTTAATCTCATTATGATTTCTGTTATTGATCATCCAGTTGCTACATTGATGAAAAAAATCTTCTTGGTTGCACAGTTAATACCTGTAAAACACATACAAAAAAGTAACCTGTACTAAAACATTAATACTCACATTTTAATCAATCATTACCTTCTATGGCCCAAAGTGGTAATGCAATGTGCTACAGATTTATGCATAAAGATGAGGAAGTGTTTGTATTAACTTTTCAATATAGTCAGATACTTTGGGAAAGCTCTGGACCCATTCCTGGCAATAAAATGCCAAGTTACAAACAACTATTGGAAGAAAAAAATGTTTACAAAAGGTTCTGCAGAAATAATGGACTTTAGAGAACTTCTTCAATTGCCATAACTCCCATTAATGTAAATTAATGGACACTTTCTTATTCACAAGAGAATATGCCATTATGCACAACATATGCCCTCTAACCTCTTGGGATTCCAGCAACATAGATACTACAACCCACCAAGGAGTTACTATGCAAGGATTTAGCAACAGAAGCAGGCCTTGCAATGATTTGCAGTCTTTTGGTTCCAGGCAGTTGACTACACAATATTGGTTTTGAGCCTATTGTGCTTTATTGTTACTGATTTTGTTCTCAATTATTGGCAAAGCTTTAACTGACCAGACAAAGTAGCACCTAGGCAACACAATCCAATGCTTGTTTACTTAGAAGTAAGGCCTATTGACTTTAATGTGGCTTACTCTGACTCAGAGTGAAATATAGGGTTCAAATTATAATTGACATATGGCTTTTTTTCCATTGGGAATTTGAAAAGAATGGGAAAAACAGTTCTTTCAGGAGATTTTTTTAGTGCAGAAATAACCTCTAAGTACCTTCCATAACCACAAAGCACCAATGTAGAATAAAATCCTCATTCTTTTTTTTTTTAAAGCATGTGCTGAAACAGGGGGACAACCTGTTTTACTTAACATCCTCCATTGGCTTGTATGAAATACTTTACTTTCTCTTACTGATGCTGATGCTCCACATATGAGCAGAAATGGCCATGCATAAAGATGGCTTTGCCTATGATTTTAGGACCATTTCATCGACAAAGTAACCTCTGCAATCAATCAATCAATCAATCAATCACTGCAGCATGGGAACCAGAAGATTTTGTTTCAAAGGCTACATCTGTACAACAGCAGCAGCAGCAGCAGCAGCAGCATCTTCTGAACCCCTTTTCTTTTCAGGGCTTTGAAAGCTGCTCCGAGTTAAAACGGGATTAAAAATGAAGGGGAAAGCTGCATGTCAGGCTGTAGGCAGGCCTCCCTTCACCCCCCCCCTTAAAGTCCACTGTTGCTTTCTATCCCCAGGTTAATAACTCCCGAGAGCTTCAGTGGGGTCACCCCCAAGGAAGCGCGAGAGAGGACTGCAACACTGGAGCCTGGGAAGTAATACGAGAAAGAAAGGCACCGTTGCGTACCTGGCTATAACACATTTTTGCAAAACCTGCGCATACTAAAGACCCCGGAGGTTTCGGCGGCCAGTCACTCGCTCAGGTCTCTGGACCTGACCATTTCCCATTCCCTCGCCCGCCCGCCCGCCTCACACCTGCTCCTTCCTTTTTTACCTGCGCAAGGTGAGCACCTAGTCCAAGCGCACAGCGCCGTACCTCTGAGAGGAACTCGGAGCGCTGCTCCTTGACTCCGCGCCGGCTTGCCAGTCAGGTATTCCCTCAGAAGTTCGCCTTTCTGTCCAAAAGTACTCCCTGCCTCCTCAGCGCTGTTGATGCCAACCGTGAGCGGGAAGCCGTTCGGTCTCTATAGCGACTTCCCGCGAGATTTCTCACTCCCCCCCCACCCGCGAGGTTTCGTTACACTCTCCTTCCCACCTCAGACCCTCCCAGAGCGTGTGACGCCAGCCGTGACGTCAGGGGGCTGACCTGTCAAATTTGTATTAAATGCATCAATATTTTAATATATCTATATACGTATAAAAACCAGTTTCTCGTTATTCCTCCGCTGTTACTGTATGTTCTATTGGATCTTGTTGCTAGGTGACCGATTCCGCCTGTCTGATTATCCGCGGGAGGGGCTCGGCTCCTTTCCCCTTTTCGTTACATTTGGATATTTTATATTTTAATCCTATGTTCAAAAGCATTCTATACGCACGCACACATATACGGTATACTGTATATACTTCTCTATTTTTTTGGAGGGGGGAATGCTGAGGAAAGCATGACGTGACAACATTCAACCCCCCCCCCTTTTCCGCTAACTAACGGAAAACAAGATGGCGGCGCGAGAGGGTTTTCCCCCCCTCCTTTTTCCTCTCTTCGTTTTTTTCCCCTCCTTTCAAACCTGTGGGAAGCCGGCCCCTTTTTTCATTCCCCAGCGTGCTTTGCGCGTTTCTAACGAATTTCGTTACGAGTTTGCCGTTTGGGCGCCATTTTCGAGTGTAGAAGCCGCCAAGGCTGCAGGCAGGAAAAGGGAGCTTTCTGCAGCTCGCGCCGCTGCTACGTTGGGAGCGCCGTCGGCCCTCGCTCCAGGTTGCCTGTTCTGGGCCGTGGATGGGGACGAAGTACTCTGACTCTGCCTGGTAAGAAGACCTATTTTGGGGGAAGAACTGTTCATGCTTTGAGGTTTTTGGGGGAAGAGAGTTTTAAGAAGCTTCCCTCCCTGCGGTTAGAATGGAGGGTGAAACTTTCAGTAAGGTTCATGGACTTGGCTGGTGCTTACTGGTACTTGGGAAACTTGTTCGCTTAAAAAAAAATTTTTTTTCTTCAATATTAAAAATAAAACTCCCACAAACTATTCTATGAGGAAAAAGGCGGCAGCCTTCTCTCTCCCCCTCCCCTCCCCAAACCGGCCGCTTTTTCCTTCTCCCCCGCTTTTCCCCCTACCCGCCTCCGTGGGGGTGGGGTGAAAAGCTATATTTGCTGGCGATTTCCGTTGCTATCGGTAAAAGCAAGTTAGTCTCCTTCCATTCGCTCCTTGCACATTTTTTTTTATTTTTTTATTTTTTTGCTGATTTTGGTATAGGCTGTCAGAGACGATTTATAATCACATTTTTCTTTTAAAAAATAGATTCTTTTCCCCCACCGTGATTTTTATAGTCGCCTGAAGGATTTAATTCTTAGCCGTTGGAGCGGTGAAATAGATATTTCCCCTTCCCCCCTCCCGCGAAAAAAATGACTTCAACTGGTTGCTCTCGGTAAAAAGGCACGTACGCATCGGAGTCTAAGGGGAGGGAGGGCTGGATGATTCCAATGCATTCTTAAAGATCATGCATGCCAAACTATTTATTTTTAAAACTTCTGCGTTCGGTTCACAGCAAAGTTTTTTTTTAATTTTCATTTCGCGGCCCTGACCTGATGAGTGATATTTGGCAGTAGTAGGTCTGTAAGTGCTTTTAGTAAAGCACCACTAATTAGACCCCCTTGATGGAAGCAAGCTACGAAGGGGTGGGGTGCGGGGAGGAGGTGATGGATTTATGAAGGGTAAAAAGCCCGATTCATTTATTAGGGCGCTTAATTTCCCACAATACTTGTGAGATAACGTGCATAAATTAAAACAGCCGTTGCTTTGCAAACCTATTAACGTTTGAAAGCCAACGTCACTTCTTTCAGTCGGATTCCTTTGGACTCCTGGAGGCTATAAATGTCAGTGAAGTATAACTATTACAGTATATTTCCTGAGTATGCTATTGGCTTAAAGAGAACGTTAATAAGCCTATTTAATTATTGGGTGTGGGTAAAATTAATACAAAACAGTCCGCATCCTATATGCATGGGCTGAGATTTCAGTTATTTGAAGAGGTCTTTTGAACACGATTTTAATAAACCTTGATTATGAGAAGCAAATTAACATCTCCCCTTTCAGTCCCCCCCCCTACGTTATATACTTAAATATGGGCTTTCTTGAATTACTCTCTAGTCAGGTACCAGTAAAAAAAGGTTGTCCTCATTTCAAGTTTTACAGTTATCTTCATTGGAATAAAAGAATGAGAACACATCTTGTTAAGAATTCTATTAAATTATTTAAGCAATGCTAGACTAATTCTTGAGTCTTGAACCTGAACAGAATCCTTTAAAAATAATTCAAATAAAGGGCTGGCGATTACACTTCTTTATTGTAAAGTGATTTCTGCATTTAAGGAGATTACACCTGTTAATTCTGGTTAATAAAATAGGCAATATTTTTGTTTTCTATTAAATTAGTTAACTTTTTAATATATTGAGTTAATATGACGGTTGTAAATTGTCACTTACAGTGGAGAATGGGAGGAGAGCCACTACATACTTGTCATAATAGCTTGCCAAATTGCAAAATTAACCCACATTTTAGATTGATATTAGGCACTGGACACACAACTTTATCATTTTTAATGTAATATTTAGGTCATTGGGATTTTTTCATTTGCATTAACAAAGACGATAACAGGGCTTCTGTAGTTTGGTTGTTTGGAATCGGAACAGCTAACTGAAACCATGCCAAGAAAAAGAGCTAAAATATCTACAGCAGCCCATCACAAAGGCAATGAACCCTTGGATGACTCCTTCAGTGATGGGGAACCTGAAAAAGAAGCCAATATGCACACCCCTGAAGTACCTCAGCAAGGTCAGTTTCTCTTCATCTATATATATTTGGCTCATAAACTTGGCCGTGGAGGTGTCCTGCTTAGAAGCTAGGATAAGTCCAATTTTGCCTTTAACTCTGTGATGTTTTCCACATTAGTTATAAATGTTTCAGGTTAATGTGGTGTTAGAGGCAGTATCTGTCTTCTTATTCCTAGTGTTTAGCCTGTACTCCTTATATTGTGCCAGAAAAGCAAGAAATGATTTAAACAGATATAATTTTGAGGTGGTGTGAGAGTAGTTGTCTGCATCTTGTGTGTCCTTAGGCAAGTACTGTGTATATTTTAAACATGTTTGAGCTTTGCATCTTGTACTGAGAACGTCTGCATTGAAACGAAGCAGTAGGCCACTTAATACAGTACATTGGTCATCAGACATTTAGGATTTTATTGGTGAATGGGTTAATAACTGAAAAGTGACACCAACAAAATATTCAAAGAAAACGTTGCCTCAATGAGTTAAAAACTTGTTATACGTCTTCTTGAAATCTAAGTGGCCAGTTTTCTCTGTGTGTGACAAACTTCCTGTCTTTGAGGAATAGTGCTGTTGCTGTCATTACAGCTTGCAGGGCATTGTGCAGAGATCCTCAGACCACCTCCTTTACAGTGTACGTAAGCTCTGAGCATGCCTGAAAATGCAAGTCTGTAGAAAAAGTTGTTTTCTTTGGATTTGTATGGATGAAAGACTCTTAGTGCCAGCATATTACTTTGAAAATGTTGTGGCTTTAAAGTACAGTTCTAGTGGTAGAATAAGTTTGCTTGTAAATGGAAGCAACATTCTAGATCCTTTTCCTAGTAATTCAGCCTGTGGATAGAAATGTGTTGATTCTTGTATAGTAACGGTGTTACTGGAAGGGGGGATTCTTCTGTTTTTACTACAGAGATGAAATATTTGTAGGTGTATGTAGTCATTAAGTTCGTGTGTCTTTCTGCTTTTGTTTGGAAATTTCTAGCAGTCTCAGACGGAGTAGTTGACAATCGCAGTTTAGAAGAGATTTTGAGTAGCATCTCTCCTCCCCCACCTCCAGCAATGACCAATGAAGCTGGAGCTCCTCGTCTCATGATAACTCACATTGTAAACCAGAACTTCAAATCTTATGCTGGGGAGAAAATTCTAGGACCGTTTCATAAGGTATCTTTCTTTTTTAAGTGACTTCTAAGTTGAGGTAAGACTCTCTTTTGACTTAGCTGCTCTTAGTAAAGTGAAAATTACAGATTGCTAAGTAACATGGGGGCGCTTTAAATGAAAGAATGTGAATTACTATTGTCTGTACTTCTGTTTTCAAGATCTTGCTTTCTGTGGAATTCAAGCAGCTAGAAAAGGATGCATCTTTTTCTATTATGAATAATTATCAATAATTCACTTATACAATACGAGTCCATGTTAATTTGAAAACATATTGATACCCTTCAAGTAGCTAATTATAAACATGTTTCTTTGTAACATTTTGCTTGCTGAGTGCAGCTCATTTTGCAGAGTTCACAGGATAAAACTTCAGAAATTTGAGCTAATAGGAGGTGTCTTTGAATAGGTTGTACTTTTTACCGTTGGCTGTAAAAACTAAGCTTTCCAGTAGTTCACAATTTCCTGCACTAGGTGTAATGATATTTTAAACTGTCTACAACGCAAAGAAGCATAATTGCTCGTGGTTATTAAAGTGTAGTGCTTTCTTTTTTCTATTATGCAGCGTTTTTCTTGCATTATTGGACCAAATGGCAGTGGAAAGTCCAATGTGATCGATTCTATGCTCTTTGTTTTTGGTTATCGAGCACAAAAAATAAGATCCAAAAAACTTTCAGTTCTGATCCATAATTCTGATGAGCATAGTGATATTCAAAGTTGCACAGTAGAAGTTCATTTTCAAAAGATCATTGACAAGGTATGTTTTACTTTTGTTAAAGTTGGGGAAAGTTTATCATATAATGTCCTATTTCATTTTATTGAAACATTGTGCCTTTCTAGTTCTCTGTGTTAGAGTTCTGAAAGGTACAGTATTTGATATACTTAAAATCCAATTCTGTGCATGTTTACTCAGAAGTAGGTGCCACTGTTTATTGGGGCTTAGTCCCAAATAAGTGTGCATAGGACTGCAGCAGTGGAGTTCCATTTCTGCTTCATAAGTATATTTAACTTCAAAAGTATTCTTGTCTGCACATATTACTTACGGCAATGTAAAGCTTATTCTGGTTTCAGTTTAAAGTATATTTATGCTAGATATGCATATTACAGGAACTGCTGTAGAACTGAAAAGGTTTTATATGTTTCAGGCTAGCTACAGGGTTGTGTGTGGTGTATATGTAAACTATAAATGTGCTCTGAAAGACCACCTTAAAGTCATCATCCTTCCAATATCAACATACACTGACTTAAAATAAATCTTTAAACTAATTTTTGGTATGGTTTATTATAAATTACAAACCTGTAGACACTACATATCTGTTTAAAATTACATGATTTGCAAATTTTTTATATTTCCCCTTTCACAAGGGAAATAAATTAAAAAATTGTCCAGTAGCACCTTAGAGAACCAACTAAGTTTGTTCTGGGTATAAGCTTTCGTGTGCATGCACACTTCTTCAGATACACTGAAACAGAAGTCACTAGACCCTTATACAAGGGTTAGTGTTAAACTAAATTCAAATCATTTTTCTTGCTTTTCAAATTTGTGTGTGGGTAATATGTTAAAATTGGACAAAAATGCACATCCGTGTGCATTTTTAAAAATAACCCCAATTAGCTCAATAAAACATTACCAGGTTAACTGTCCAAATAGTAAAACCAGGAGGGGGATTCTTTGTACACAACTGGGGATGCTGTTGTGGCTGTGTGTGGTGTTTTTTTTAATTGTCAGCATTGGTGGTGTAATGAGCTGAAAAATAATATTTTAAAATATATATTGAAACACTATCCTTCTAAATTAATACACATCTAAAATAGAAATAATATTCCATTAAAGCCAGCCACATACAGTCATATCTAATCTTCCATTTATGCTTTTTTAAATAATAAATCACTTTTCCATAAGTAATTTTTCTGTGGAATTTCATTGGAACAAATTTAAGCTCTCAAGGAATTAGGCTAGGAGGACAAACAATAAAAAAAAATATTTTGTGGGATAACATTTCATAGAAAAATATTTTTGCATTTTTTGAATATGGATTAAAACATTGTATGTGTGGCTTGTCAAAGATCTGCTTAAGTCCATGCTTAATAATTTGTGTATATTTTAAAGATTTTTTTTAATAAAAAAGATGCTGTATTCCCAGTGTTTTAAAACTGCCTCTTTAAAATGGTTAACCTTGGGTACTGAAGGTTTTGTTTGCTGAAAACTGGGAGTAACTTCTTTGAACTGATAGGAAACTGCTTTGCAAGTTGACAGGAAGAAGATAGGAGAAGGGTATCTGTTCTACAATATGGTGGTAGGCAAAAGACTAAGGCTACAATTCTATTCACAGATATTTTGGAGTATCCCACTGAACTGTGTTGTGATTGCATGTTTTCTCAGAAGTAAATATTAGTCTGCACATTAAGTTGTTGAAATCATATCCTACTAAATTTAGAAAAATTGGAGAGGTTCTGTGTTTCCAAGACATTATCTGACAGCAAAAATGCTGGTATGACTAATAAAGTGCATATGTTATAAGATTTATTATGAGTTTTAATGTCAGAGTTAACTAGGATATAACAGATTTTTGAAAATAAATTATTTAATTTTGAAATCTTGGGTAGACCTGTGGCTTAAAACTAACAATTGTTTTTCTGGGTTTGTTTTCCTTCAAAACAGGAAGGGGATGATTATGAAGTCATTCCCAACAGCAATTTCTATGTCTCCAGAACAGCCTACAAAGATAATTCTTCTGTGTACCATATCAGTGGGAAGAAATCAACATTTAAAGATGTTGGGTTTCTACTTCGAAGTCATGGAATTGACCTAGATCATAATAGGTTCTTGATTTTACAGGTAATTCTTTGAATAATATTGTTACTAAATTATTATTTTTCTAACCGCATTAGTTTAGGTATATCGGAGTAAGTCTTGTGTTCCAGAAACCTTACAGTACTCTAGCAGCACATCATGATTTGTATGTCATAGTAAATATGCAAGTCATTATATGCTGCTTTAGAATTTTAAGGAAAATAATCTTTTCTGGTATTTTGGGGGTTTTTTTGTGTTGTAGGCAGACAAGTGAGTAGAACAATTGTTATACTTGTTCCGCCCTAGCAGCACGTAAATATTGGTGTAGTGAAGATGATCTTAACCCCAATATTATTGTGCTGCTTAAGCGTAGCAGGGATTGAGCAACATTGTTGTTTCTTTCTGTCCTACATGCCATGTTAATTCAGTACTGAAATGTATAGATATTAACTACAGTACATGGTTGAAATGAACATTGTCATATTCCTTTGACATCTTTCTAGCCTCAGAAGCATGAATAGATACAAAATTAACCAAATCATGCACTCTGAAAGATCAAATTTCATCATTTACAAATAGTTTAAATTTTCACAATATTGTATGATGGGACCATTTATAACTGGATTTAACAACAAATATTCACTACTCATGCTACTTAAATAAAAGTTTCATATGTGACACAAACAATTCCTCTTCTGGGAGAAAATTGGTGTAACTTGATATTTGCTAATTTCCACTTTCTGTTTCATGATTATGGCTGAATCCCCACACTAATCACCAGGGAAAGACTTTTGTAAGAAACCTAGCTTTTTGTTACAATTATATATATAAAGTACAAGTAAAATTTAAGTTCAGTACTGACATACTCAAAACCTTTTTCTTCAATGATAACTTATTGTGATAGCATGGAATCTTAAGAACAAGTACAAAGTACAGATTTTATTTGGAATTCATTCAGAAAATGTCAGGATACTATAGAAGGGCAATCACTGGAAGTTATAAAGGTTGCAGTGGAAGGGTTGGTCTTCTGTACAATGCCAGCAAGCTTTGGGAATGTTCTTTGACATATATGTTGGAGGCACTTGTGTGGCCTGGGTGCCGTTTGAAGCATGGGCTATAGCTCTGCCTACAAGCACTCTGATGTAAACATGTACTGTATGCTTAAAGGGTATGGTCTCATATATGTATGGATACAAGCAGTGTTAAAAACTCATATAAGCTAATTGCCAGATGGCACCTTAAACCTTGGTTACGATTGCCACAACAGAACGTCTAGGTGCCATTCTCCATCCCACCAGTGAAGTTTGTTGTTATTAATTTCATTTCTTAACTTCTTTCTCTTCTAAAGAAAATTTCTCAATGCGGCTTACAGCACATTAGAAAATCAAATAAAACAACCCAGAATAAAACAAAGTCAAGGTTGAAGGAAAATATTTCAGATCCTTTTCTAAGGGACCTTTTGCTTTCCTTGTATTCACCTGTTTAATATATATATCTGCCCCATAGCAGAAGTACTGTAGAAAGCCAGTGTGGTATAGTGGTTAGAGTGTTTGACTAGGACCTGAGAGATCAGGGTTCAAATTCCCACTTGGTCATGAAGCTCACTGGGTGACCTTGGGCCTGTCACAGCCTCTTAGCCTACCTCCCAGGGTCGTTGTAGGGATTAATTTTAGAGGAGGGTGAACCATGTACTGCTTGAAGAAAAAGGTGGGATATAAATGCAGTAAATAAGCTCTTCTGCTTAAGAAAGCTGAAGAGGCCAGCCAGAAGGTAATGTCAGTCGCCAACCTGGCATCCAGAGATCTCTATGTGGTTGTAATTGGATTTGCGCCAGTCACAAACACACCTGGCACCTGGGGGATTTCTAGCACTGGATACAAGAATTTGTTTAGATTTGTTTGTTGCTTCCTTTTTTACCATATTCAGACAGGATCAGATTTTAATTTCATTGAACTTTGAAGAAATCAGACTGGTTTTATAGTTAAGAATAAGAAACCGTAACCTTGTGTGGAATTATAGTAGCTGGATAAATGAATGCTCATTCCTCCAATTATTGCACAACTTTCATTTAGCATTATTTTTTTAATGTACTTCATTTAATTGGTTACTTATTCATTGTATCATAATGGGAATGCGTCATAATGGGAAGGTATGCTTCTCAGAATTGTTGAAATCAATGAATGAGTGTCATCAGCATGCACATTTTATAAGATTAATAATAGTTAGTTAGTTACTTCCTTCCCTTCAAAAAATAATAAATACCTGTTTTCACAGTTAGTTATATAATCTGCTAAAAGACCCCATTTTTAATGCCCCAGGTTAAATAATGTACAGATTTATTACCAAATTCCAGCTCTTTGAATTATTTGTATTATATAAAGAGGCCTTATTTTCTAAGCACCCATACCTTTATAACTTACGATAACCTGTATGATTGGTTGGCAAGCTACATCCTTGAATGGTATTATTGTTTTCATTGGGCAACTGAGTAATTGAAATGTTGCTTATATTTGATTTTGTAAGTGATAATATGTACTATTTCTGTGCTAGTTTCTTTCCTTCTATCTCTCAAGTTCAAAAATGGGATATAACTAAATGTAAAACTAAACTAAGTTGATTTTCTGAAGCTTTTTGTATAGTAATTTCTAGAACATTTGAAGGCAAGTGGTTTGAATTTAAATTTAGACAATTTAATTAAGAAAATTCCTAATCTTAAATCAAGTTTTGATTTGTAGTTTAGATACTTCTTAGACCAATCTACACACTAAGGACCTAACTATAGGCTAACTTATTTTAACCTCTATGTAGAACTAATATATTTATCTGAAAGATAGTACCATCATTAATAAATATTTAGGTAGTGGTTTGGCAGAACGGAAGGCATTCAAGCTTGTTTACCCAATACCCTGCTCACCCTCTCAGGTTTCACACTGTCAGGGCAGAAGTAAGAGCAGAGCAGCGCTCTTGTGCTCATACATCTTCAGTTTTGTGTTGGATTTTGGCTTTTTTACAGTTTTCTTCTACAGTGGTACCACGGGTTACATACGCTTCAGGTTACAGACTCTGCTAACCCAGAAATAGTACCTCGGGTTAAGAACTTTGCTTCAGGATGAGAACAGAAATCGCGCGGTGGCGGCGCGGCAGCAGTGGGAGGCCCCATTAGCTAAAGTGGTACTTCAGGTTAAGAACAGTTTTAGGTTAAGAACGGACCTCCGGAACAAATTAAGTATGTAACCAGAGGTACCACTGTATTGGAAACGGTAGAAACAAAATTGACAACACTAACTCTAGGTCTAGTGTAGCTTTCTTCCTGATTTGGGGGCATGTCAGGGACTAGGAAGACTTTAGATCTATGCCTTCCCTTGCTGTATCTCTGGCACTCCCCCTTTTCGGCCTCACTGATGTTGGAGCTCTAACATTGGTAGGGCAAGGCCACAAGTTTCCAGTTAGAGCTCCCTCTCTGAGGTTGTACCTCTCAGAGTAGGAGTTTCAATGGTTCCTATAGTCCAGGCATGGCCAAAGTCTGTTTCAGTGGCTCAACAATCTAAAAAAAGGTCAACAACTGTGGTTGGCCCTTTGGTCCGCCCTCACGGCCCTTCACTTCATCAAATCTGGCCCTCTTTGAAAAAAGTTTGGACACCACTGCTATAGTCCCTGGAATTCTTCTTCAGGGATCATAGGATTGCAGGGCCTATCTCTTAGAAAAACGTTATATGAAGCATTGTTAAAAAATAGTAACTAATAACTTACTCTTTTCTCAAAATTTTGTGCCACACTAGTAGTGTGGTAACTAGAAGTTAATGATGCACAATATACCAAAGAATTGGTTAGTATTTTTTATTTTAAACTATGGATTTTTCCCCTCAGTGCCATTCTGTATACCTTCAAAGAAACTGAGCAAGAACCTTTACTTGCAGGTTAAATGGTACTAAATGACAATGTGGCTCAGAAGGATGGGTTTATAGTTGAATAGTATTTGTCCATCTCATGCAAAACTAATTTTCATGTGTGGTTGGTAGGTAGAGACATAAAAAGGGGCTGTGTTGGCCTATCAGGATGCTCAGCCCATTTGGACTGCACTTAAGGCAGCAAACTAAATTGGGCTGGCTACATGAACATTCATTGCAGATGACAGAACCCAAGAGAGATCAAAAGAGGTCTCTTCCTGCATGTGGGGTGGGTATCACTAACTTTACTTTCTAGCTAACTTGCTTTCCCAGCTGTGGACTGATGCTCCAGAGGACCCCATGGGACTTTTTTGTATGGGGCAGTAAAGGGTGGAGGCTCACCATGTTGCACAAGTGGTGAGCCACAGAAATGACTCTATGAATACCTGTTCTTAAACAAGCAGCATAAGTTTAATGCACAAGATGACCCCTGTGGGTATGGCATCTGCTATGACTTGCTAGTCTTTGGCTACCAGTTTTGGACTCATAAGAAATTTTAGCTGGAATCCAGAGATCCACTGGGAGAAGGATTGCCTATTCTTCTACCATGTGCAGCTCTTCACTTAATGTTGAAGCTCACTGTTAACTGCCCCCTCCATGTTCAGCGGGTGTGAAGTATATCAGAGTTTAGGTGTGCCTGAAAAAAAATCTGCAAGCAATCCTTTGGATCCCAGTCAAAATATGTGAATGTAAAGATGTAATTATAGTTCTTGACCTCAGCAGCTAGTTGTTTTTTCTCATGGTTCTTATTTCACATAGAATAGCAGTTTTATACACAAACTGTTTGATACTGTGTCACATGATCTATATGGAGAGGGTTCTGGATTCTAGCTTATAGCTAACTTGGTTCCATTTACTTCAGTGAGTCTTGGATGCAACTGTCAGTTTTATTATAATTTTAGGTTTGTTTTATATTCATCTTTTCTTTCCCAGTTTATATAAAAAGATAAGTTACATTTTAGTTGTCTACTATCCATGATACTTGAAGGAAAAATGTTGTTAGCAGTTAATCTGCAGCATCCTTGCTCAGCTAAAAATAATCAATTTTAAAAAACGTAAATTTTACAAATAATTTTAATAATATTTTGATTACATTTT